AACACAGCAGCCCAAACTAACCAATCTGAGTCCACTGCCTGTTTCTGAGGGAGTGGTTTCATAGAATCAGGAAGTCAACCACTCGTTCATGGGACAGAGGAGAGCGCGGCTTACAATAAAGGTGAAGTTTATGAAAAATAAGACTTTTTAAAAAAGAAAAACCACGAATACATATTATGTTGCACCCCATAAACAGAATCATGCAAAGAAAAAAATCAGTAACACCCCCCCTCCCCCTTTAATGAATATTAGTAGCCTATTATGAGTAAAATTTCATTAGAATAAGTAACTAGAATACAAATATAATTATTATTTTAAAAAAATAAGTTAAAATAGCAAATGCAAATTGATGGCTAACATATAATACGCATAGAATACGATTAACAGCCTCGGATAATTACAGGTCTGCTTTAGCCTAGTTCACACTACATGATTTTAAAATGTCGAGCTGAACTGTGGGTCAGACTACATGACTTGCTCTCTTTGAAATCCAACCCGGTCTCATCCCAAATCGTCATATAACTGACGTTTTGGGACGTCTTTTGACCATACGTCAATATTCGCCTTTTTAGGGCCCCCTTAAACGTCGGTAGATGAGGTTATGGGATCCTAACTCTAACCCATACCTAAACTTAACCCTAAACCTAACCCGTCACCTAACTGACGTTAAAGGTAAAGCGTCAGTTGTATGACGGCCCGGGATCGCCATCTACCGACGTTTAAGGGGGCCCTAAAAAGGCGGATATTGACGTATGGTCAAAATACGTCCCAAAACGTCAGTTATATGACTTTTTGGGATGAGACTGTGTTATGAAATCAGGAGTTCCCTTTCGAAGGGAACTCAACAATACGTCGAATGACGCATTGTCTCGTTCCCTGTTCTCAGGGAACATAGGTTACAGTCGTAACCTGAGACGTTTTCAAGTTGTTGAGCTGTTCACACAACACGACACAACGTGATTGATCCGCAACAGGAGGTAACGCACTACACGAGTTGACAACAACTCTGTCACCCAACGATTCTATCTTGTCTACAAACCACGCTTTGTCACGGAAAATCACGCGATAAAACAAACCGGAAATGATGCTAAACAGCACGCGTGCCAATACCCAGCGAAGAAAAAGAAAACACAACACGTGAATATGGATGTCATAAAGAAACTACAGTGCTGCAAACTGTTTGCGCGATGATTTGCTCTGAGAAAAAATAAATTTACCCAGTGAACTCAATCCATGCCTTGCTCTGATTGGCTGTAGCTCATGATATCATGTGAGGTTGAGTCGTGCAACATCTAGCATGCTAGATTTTTTTCTGGGCTCTGCGACGTGTCTGCGAGCGTCTTTGATGCAAACCAACAATGAGAACGCAGGACAGTGACGAGGATATATAACAATACAACTGTGCATCATCTTACCTGGAACTGAGTGGCAGATTTGAAGGAAATTACCGTTGTTTGGCAAATAAAAAATTGACTGAGAGTTACATACGTGGTACACCTCAAACAAAGGAATTTATAGTAATTTATAGTGTATACTAATCAGCGAGTCCATGAGTGGATATACTTTATATACAAAATTTCCAGGAAAAGGTGGGACATTTTGAAAAATGCAATAAAATACAATCTGTGATTTGTTAATTTTCTTCAATCTTTTTTTAATTGACAAAAGTACAAAGAAAAGCTTTACAAAGAAAACGATGACCACAGACTGTTGAGCAGATCTCTTGTATCAGACAAGGTTAGGCAAATATTCCATTTGTAAAACTGCAACAATTAGTATCCTCAATTTCCAAATGATTAAAAAGTGTAACTTAAAGGAAAGGTGATGTGACACAGTGGTAAACATGCCTCTGTCCTAACTTTTGAGGAGTGTGTTGCAGCCATCAAAGTCGAAACGTGTTTATATTTACAAAATAAGATTAAGTTGGTCAGTGAAAACATTGGAAATATTTTCTTTGTATATTTGTCAGTTAAATAAAGGTTCAATGCAATTGACAAATCACAGATTCTTGTGATTTTTCAGAACCAGAATCACATAATGTTTCTAGGATTTAACAAGTTGTTAGCATGCAGAGTGTAAAAGTTTTATCACACTGTTAGCATGTTTTAACATGTTGCTAGCCTGGGCTTCCCTATGCTGCCTTGCCGCAGCGCAATTTTATTCACGCTGCTAGGCAACCTGGACGCCATGAACCAAATTTTCCCCTGAAACAGGGAACCAATCACCGAACGGGGAGGGACGAGCAAAACGATGACGACGTATTTGCGACACACCGAAGCAGTTTGTATATGGAACATGGCAGCGGACGCAAAGTTACCTTTTGATACAGCCTAACATTTGGCATTAAACATATTGGCTCAACTGATTTGCAGAGGGGGGATTTAAAGCTGTTCCCTTTTACTAGTGATTTATTTTTATTTTTTATTTTAAATTTTTTTAATTTTTACTTCATACATTATGTTAGCCTTTTTTGTTGATCACATATTTTACCATTTCATGTGTTTTAATAGCTAGACTGTCTTGCTATGGACACAGTTGTTCACTCCGGTAATATAATCGTTTTCAAATTAATAAACTCATGTTTAAATCAATATTTTTGTATCAAATTATTGATTTATTTGGTAGGTAGCCAAGTGGGAAAATGTATAGTGAGGCGGTTGTTACAGCGAATTCAACCCCTTCAGGCTGATTCAAGACCCCTCTGCTTTGAGTTGTATTCGCTATAACAACCGTCTTGCTATACATTATCCCTTACTTTTATTTATTTATTTCTATGAGGGCTGACAAGACAAAATAAGGACTGTCAAGTGTGTTTAAACAGTTCGGTACAGCAACCAAGTCAGTAGCACTACCATTTTTGCAGCGCCGAAAGCGGACCTTTCAATGATGTAATGATGCAATGTCATGACGTGCACTTGCTAGCCTGTTCCATTTACGTGTTCTCCAAATGCTCCAAAGAGGAGCCTTGCCTAGCCTCTGAAGGAAATGACTTGGAAGGACCCGTCCTGCCAAGGAAGTATCCTGACATTGAGAAACACGTTTTGTACATTAATCTCCTAAATCTCTGACCCATCATCGACTCCATCGCTCTACATATGTCATCTGGTATCATTGAACCGATTGGCCATGAGCTACGTACAGGCGCATTTGATATTCGTAGCACCCAATAATACGGCTCTGAGCATTCGTAAACCACGTCTCAAATACAAGAAAATGAACATGTGGTTTCCAGACCACGTCTCATTCTCAATGATATGTGGTCTGCGCGTTAGCCAGGCTAACATATTGCTGGAATTTTGCTAACATGTATTCGTCTGATTTAAGCCAGGTTTCTGTCAAACACACAGTGTTGTGCCTGAACACGTTCAATGAACGATAGTTCATGAACACGTTCATATTTTGAGCGAACGTGAACTGAACTTACTGTATTACTGCCTGATGAACGTTACTGTGAACTCGTTCATTCTGGTCTGGTGTCTGTGAACGCACACTCTCTCAGTTTAACTTCATTCAATAGGGTGCCAGATTTCTATGGAGCCTTCCAAGAGAAACCCGGCTAAAACCAGTTTTCCTACCTATTTGGCAAAAAGGAAGACAACAGCTTTCTTTAGTCTCTAGTCAGGTATAGCACCAATTCACAGCAGAAAAAAAAAAAAACATGTTTACAGCCTGGTGGCAAATAGTTATTTTGGTCTATGTCACTAATTTTGCCCTTCATGACGACTGTGAGGGGGGTGACTTTTTTTTACAACACATCCGTTTAAATGATATAAAGCCTTAAATTTCTGCATAATTAAGGGTGTGACCACTTGAGTGACAGGTGGATTGCCTTTGCTTTCACTGCTAGTCGTTTGCCTGCTGTCTGTTTTCTTCATCACCCTCAGCTGTGTTTGTGCTTTTTTCCGGGATTATTTCATACAATTTAATACACGTAGCCTATTATACCTTTGCCCATGCACGACGTCGGATTCCGTCATTGTCGAGTATGGAGAGAACAACCAGCGCTGTATTTCCAGTTGTTTCCCTCGCATGCACTAATGGATGTCTGACAATTTCAGTGCTTTCTCTCCGTCCATGCAATAGATGCACACCCTTGAATGAGCGCGGATTTCTAGTGCATTTACTTGAACTTCTGAGGTAATATCTTTGGTTCGGCCAAAATCAGATTGTAAAATGGACTGAATAAAGCTTTTTACGAACTTGACGTGCGATGGCTGACTGACATGTATGTGCACAAATCACTGTCACACGTACAAGCTTAGAGCAATATTGTAAGTAACTGTCTGCATGATAATACATTTTTAACTTTCAGAATAATAATGCATCACGATACACATAGAAATGTGTGTGATCTGTGTTAAACTGTTGTATACATGCTCTTAACTAATTGCCCTTTGTGAGATTAATAAAGTTGATAAAAAAATAGTAAAGTAAATAGTCTCACTTTTAGTTACGTCTTAACTATTATTGTATTTCGAAGGGCAAAAACTTGAACTTGAACTATTGGCTTTACTTCTTTAATTAGCTGTCGCTTTAGCCTGAGGCCAGTAGCATAATAGCATTATTTAGCACCTCAGCTCCACCCATGTCCCGTCTCTTTGCCCATTTTATTTTATCCGGTAGTGACGAGAGGTGATGCGCTGCCAAGATGGCGACGGCCGGCCCCACCCACTTTAGGCTTCAAAAACGCTCTTCAGAAACCTACGGGTGACGTCATGGATACTACGTCCATGTTTTTGTAACAGTCTATGGCTAAAACACACATAAACAGGCCTTAATATGTAGCGGAAAAAACCAAATCCGTCAACACAAGACACCTCTCACACCGCGGCCGCCGTCGACAAAGCAGCGAGCGAGGAGGTGTCGTAAGATCATTTAAACAGATTTTATGACGAGGTCGGTGAGGATGTGAAAATCTTACATTTCTGTGCAAACTGCCTGTCGATACAATATTTGTTGTCTGTGGTTGTATATGGGCTGTGGCAATAATAATAATAAAAGAAGCTCGTAACATATGGAAAAAAAAGAACTATTAATAAACTAGTTTATTTTTTGAAGTATGAACTACAAACTGAACTAGTTCATTTTAAAATGTGTGAATTGAACTTTTAACTTCAAGTAGAAAGTGAACTTTCCCAACACTGCAAACACAGCATATCTAGGTTATGATCAATAATCATTTTATTTACAATAGGTGCTTTTAAAGAAAAGGATTGTATATACTGCAACCCAAGCTTTATCATTTGCTGATCTTTATTATATCTGTTTTTTAATTGTTGAACATCAATTAAATTACAGTGTGCTGGATCCCTCACTGGAAATCGAAAGTAACTCACTCCGAATAAACATTTTCTCTTTAAATAATTGCACCTGGGAACAATATAAGTTGACGCCATTATGACTAAAAGTTTGCTAAGAAGTATTTGCAACTAAAGTAAGGCAGTATTTAACTGCATATCTATTACAGACTGTGGGAGTGGATAGCAACATGCCCAGTGCATTATGGGTGTTGAAGTTTTCCTACCTATTTGGCAAAAAGGAAGACAACAGCCTTCTTTAGTCTCTAGTCAGGTAGCACCAATTTCAGTTTTTTCACCTTTCTACTGTATAGACAGCCAAGTTTTATTGAATGCCCATTTTGCCAGTAATGAATTACCCATTTAAGTGTCACTTTATTTCCTTAATATTACATTATCTGCAAGTACAGCTTTTTGAAAACAGACTTTTAAGACTTGAAGCACACTACAAGCGTACTTCCAATAGAATTACACTTCTTTTTCACAAAGGTTATTTCTGGAGAAAAAATAGGAAGAACATAAGGAATAGCAAAGAAAATAAGGTGTTGCCTTTACTTTTTTATATCATAAAACAAAACAAACTTAGACTTACATGAAGAAACAGGCGCCTCAGAAGTAGAATTATCTGCACCTGCATAAAACAAATATAAACCAAGTCGTATGGTCACTTTCACCATTTATTGAACATACAAATAAGTATTGTAAAAACATACTTCAACAGAACATTTTTTTTCATGCCTTACAGTGTGTGGGTTTATGTGTGGGTTTCTGATATAGCAGTTACAGATATTGTTACTTTGCTTTTAGTATGGCATGCAGCTTCACATCCATTTACCCAGTAAAATATTATACTCTGATATACAGGAGACTTTTTGAAAAGCTTCCTCTGTCAGACATCTGTCTGCTGGGGGCTAGTGTGGGACCTTTCTGCTGACATTTCCTGTCCTGGCCAAACACAGTTTCTGCTCTCACTCTGTCTGATTTTTGTGACCCCTTGCTTGACTTCTGCCTCTTAACAGCTAAAAGAAAAGCTGACACTTGCTGTGCTGTCCTGTCTGCTAAACAACACACCGCATACACATATCTAGACATATACTCTCACTAAATACTGTAAGTTCATATGTTCAATACCACTTTAGGAGAATTAGCCAATAAAAATTAAATCACATCTTTATAAATGATCAGGGTTTGCATACAAATAATATCTTTGATAGGGCAAAGGAGTAATTAACTTCATACGGTGGCCGAGAGAGCTCAGCACGCTGTAACTGAAGAAAACACATACAAATAGAAAAACTAAAACATCTTCAACAGTTTTACAACACACTTGTGCTCTAAATACTCACAACACAACCAAATACAGAAAGTGCTGCAAATAGCACAGACCACAACGGAAATGTTTCCAGGGGACCCCAGTGACGAACCCTCCTGGGACATGCTGTTTGCTCGTTTCTTACCTATCCTTACCTGTTATTAAGTTTATTCTTACCTGTTGTTATTATTCTTACCTCTCCTTAAGCCAATTATTACCTATATAATAATTATTACCAATTATTATGACCCAACATTTCTTATGAAAGTTATTTAAACACAACATGACAACATCTTTTTTTCCTATCTTTAATTCTCATTTGTATTCTGATGACATTGAATATATTGTTAATAGATTATGTATATTGCATACAAAGTTGCATGTCATAAACATGTCATCTCTGTAATTTTTTGCAAAAAATAAAAAAATAATAAAAAATAAAAAAAGTAGACTTTGAGCTATAGGCATGTCCCAGATGGGTTCATCACTTCTTTTAGTTTGACATTTTGTTTGCAAATAAAAATATACTATATTCTTGGCATGTTTGGTTCGATTAAAACAAACACTGGAGCGATTGCTTTGTTAAATCGATTAATTTGAATCAGTGTGAACACTACCATCCGAACCCTTGTGCACACCAAAAATCTGGCTTGGTTTGAATGAAATATGAACACAACACTACATGATGTCACAAAATGCAACCCTAAAAAGGAGAGAATGCTCAGGCATACCTGTTTTTTCTCATGATAGTCACGATTTTGCCCACCACTTGGTACAGACATCAGAACCACATCTCCTCACAGCAGATCTTTGTTTGTGTGTGCGACGGAGGGATTACTTCCGTCCTTTACACATATTATAAGCTATTCACGAGTTCTTAGCTAGTCAAAATACTATCACGCAGGCTGTGCGCATGCAACAAGCGCATTTATCACAGCACACAGCATTGTTTTGGATGTTTGCAGCCCATTCTCACCCCCAAGGCGTCACCTAACTGACGCCTTGGGAAGCATTTGGACATGCTTCAATATCTGACGCTTTGGGCGCCCTTTAGCGTCAGTTAGATGACGCCCTAGGATCGCGTGTACCCTACCCCCACACCTAAACCTAACCGCGTCCTCTAACAAACGCTTTCCTTTAGCGTCAGTTAGATGACGCCGTAGAATCGCGTCATGTAAGTGACGCTAAAGGGCGCCTAAAACGTCAAATATTGAAGCATGGTCAAAGGTGACGCCTTGGGGTGAGAATGCGTTGATGTTTGATATGTTCCATCATGAAATGTAACAAAAGCCAAACAATCGGGTTTTGAACATATCCCTATGCCTTTATATTTGTTGTTAAAATGCCAATGTGAACGCTAAGAAGACCAGAGGCTGGTTGCATAAACCACTAAGACTAGTCTTACAATTTACATTAATTTTTTTTTCTTTAAGACTGTTCATAGCTTTTTTTTAAATAGTTACATAAAAACATATTTTGTAACTGAAAAGTAAGACTGACTGCCTCTGATTAACTGCTAGTGGGTCATACTAGAACTTAAAACACTATCTTAACATAATGTTTATGCAGACGGCCAGCAGAAGGAAAGGCTGTCTCCAAGCGGAGGATGGCCCACTGGATAGTGGATGCCATCGTCTTGGTTTACCAAGCACAAGGCGTGCCCTGCCCAATCAGGTTGCATGCACACTCCACAAGAGGCATTGTATCCTCCTGGGCGCTGGCAAGTGGCTTCCCGCTAACAGATATTTGTAGAGCTGTGGGCTGGGCGACACCTAACACATTTGCTAGATATTACAGCTTACGTGTAGAGCTGGTCTCCTCCCATGTTCTCACCCTAAATGGGTGGAAGCACTGAGAGGTCCAGCTCTGTCAGCTCCCTGCATCCCACTGTCCACCCTTATTGCTTCAGCGAAAAACCAGTTGAGTCCTCCAAACACCCCTTGGCCCGGACATGGCGAAGCGTCCGACGCCAGGCCTTTATCACTGAATCCTTGTGAACCGGTACTAGGCTGGTCCCATGTGTGTGACCCTACGGGGATCCCATACATGTATATTCTCCACGGCTGCTCCTAACAGAAGCCTGTGTCTTTCCCTTGGGCTAAGTCACCCACTATTGCCTTCAGGCAAGTCCATTTGTATTCTCTACATATTGTAACTCCTTGAAGAAAATGGCTTCCATAGTGTTCTCCTTCTTAAAAGAAGGGCAAGCTTTCCCAGCGTTATCCAATAATCTAACTATATGGGTTATCACGGAACAACAGTGACAGATACACTCCGTGTAAGCCTTCTCCTATTGTCCTTCCGGGCAAGAAGGGGTCATGGCTTGCCCAGGGTGCTGGATGGGGTGCAGCAGCTGTGGCGCTTTGGCAGGAATATATATTTGAAGTGAGAGTGATCGACTGATAGGGACCGTCTCGGTTACATATGGTAACTCTTGTTCCCAGCCAGGAGGGAATGGAGACATACGTCCAGTCGCCACATCTGCTACTGCCTGCCGGAGTGGCCAGCTTATTCATGCTTGGCTCCTCAGCAAAAAACTGAAGTTCAAGCACCTGCTGATCCTATACCTGCATTGCAAGGCTGAATCAAGACAATCTATTTTGTCATTTAAAAGTAGAATTTCTTGCCCAAAGTCAATAACAACATTTTTAGAGCTTCCAGAAATAAGAAAAAAGGCCTCTAACCCCAGTGACCTTGGCTCTGCGCTCTTCTTGTTGATGTTTGTGTGGAAAAGGCTGGAGACATCCGGTCAGACTGTAACCTTCCCATATTGGCGGGGCAGAGTTACAAGCCATGTTGCGAGCAATGTTACACCTGGGTGTTTTGGTCACCTCTGTTTTGGTTTCATTCACTCATTTTACTCATGTATGCATGATTGTGTTTATGTGTTTGTTTAGACTAGTATGTGTTTGTGATCACAGCAACATGTTCTGTATGGGCGTGGTAAGATGTTTTAGGTTAGGTGGGTTTTTTTTTACATTATTGATACATTATTTGATGAGCAATCGTAACACAATGGACGGTCTACGGGACGTAAACAGCTTTACAGTGATAAACAGGAAAATACCAATACTACAATGGAAACAGAAATCTTTTTTTTGCTCTTAAAGGGTTAGTTCACCCAAAAATGAAAATTAAGTCATTAATTACTCACCCCCATGCTGTTCCAACCTCGTAAGACCTTCGTTCATCTTCGGAACACAAATAAAGATATTTTTGATTGAATCTGAGAGCTAGATCAGTCCTACATAGACTACCTAAGGGACTGGCTCTTGACGGCCCATAAAGTCATTAAAGAAAAGGTTTAAATATTCCATGTGCCTACAGCGGCTCAATTATAAGTTTATCAAGCGACGGGACTACTTTTTGTGCGAAAAAAACATAAATAACGACTTTATTCCACTATTCCATTACTTCCTTATGGGCGCATGCGCGAGAACTGAGACGAGGACGTTCTCATTCGTCTACTTGTTACCGGCTGCTCACCGCTTAGGAGTTTTACCGCCACCTACCTGAATATCTCAACAGAAATCAAGACTCAACACCAGAAAACAAGACCAGGCAACATTTTCCAGTCTTCAACAGTCCAATTTTTGTGAGCTCTTGCAAATTGTAGCCTCTTTTTCCTATTTGTAGTGTAGATGAGTGGTACCCGGTGGGGTCTTCGAATGGGTGAGGCCCATTCGCCTCAAGGTTTGCGTGTTGTGGCTTCACAAATGCTTTGCTCAATAACTCGTTTGTAACGAGTGGTTATTTCAGTCAAAGTTGCTCTTCTATCAGCTTGAATCAGTCAGCCCATTCTCCTCTGACCTCTAGATCAACAAGGCATTTTCGCCCACAGGACTGCCGCATTCTGGATGTTTTTCCCTTTTCACACCATTCTTTGAAAACCCTAGAAATGGTTGTGCGTGAAAATCCCAGAGCAGATTGTGAAATACTCAGACTTGCCCGACTGGCACCAATAACCATGCCATGCTCAAAATTGCTTAAATCACATTTCTTTCCCATTCTGACATTCAGTTTGGAGCTGGAGACTGTCTTGACCAGGACCACACCCCTAAATGCATTGAAGCAACTGCCATGTGATTGGTTGATTAGATAATTGCATTAATTGGAACTGATTAATTGAACAGGTATTCCTAATAATACTTTAGGTGAGTGTAAATAATCCCTGAAGAATTATCAAATAATTCTTTATTAATAACTAAAAAGCTCCCTATATTATTAGTTCCCCTCAGTTGTTGCCTAAAATCCATGAATTTACTCAATGGCACTGACTCTATGCTGAGGAAAACAGACACAGACAGTACTGTATATAAAATAAAACTAATCTGAGGTTGGTTTTGTATGCCTGTTCATTAGTTGCTTATTATTTTTCTTGAACCTTAATTAGTAGTTCTTCAGGAGGCATGACAGAATTCATTAGTCATTGATTAACTAACTGTAACTTAACACAATCATAAAATTATATTACATACTGATTTGTTAACACATCTTCCTTAGTAGTTAACAGCAGTGAAGAAGTAGTTAATGAACTACTAGTTCTTCAATAATTCCTCAGTTATGTTATGTTATGCAGTAAGTAAGATATTAGCACAACAAACTTTGGATCATGTACAAAATGTTATTATATTTATAAAGTAGTTTTATATACAATGTCAAATACTTTGCAACTTTTATTAAGAAAGACCATAATTCAGAGACCCTGTACTGTATGTACAACATCATATAAAAAGCTGATCAAATTCAAAACCACCCTGACACTTCAAAACACCCACTAATCTTTACAACATGCTATAAAGGAAATGATTATTTTACCTGTCCAGTGGAGGAGGATACAGGAACAGATGAAGAATGAAATCCTTCTCACCATGGTGTAGTTCTTCTCTAATTACAAAAAAAAAACAACCAGAAAAGCGGAGTGATGCTTTGGAGCGGAGCACTAAAGTGATTAGAAAGAGATGTGTATCCAGCTACTCCAATGCTTATTTTAGAACTTCCCTTAGACAAAGAGGTACAGGAAACTGAGCTACTGAGGGTGGAGGACCAAGAACCGGGAGATGTGTGGCGTGGTTTGGAAGTGGGTAGTGTTTGAGTATTGGTGCTCAGCTAAGGGCTGAAATCCATTTTTTTTTGTTAGGAACTTCTCTATAAGTCTATGTTAGTGTTTTATACAAATCCAAAAGAAGTGTTCTACTTTTTTCTAAATTGCTGTGTTAGAATTAAGTAAGTTAGGCAGCATTAGGTAAACTCTCTGATGCATGATGCCTACTGCTGTGGACACAACTTAAAGTAATTTAACTGTTTAGGGTGTGATTCCAGAGTGATTCAGACTTTCTTTCTGTCAGGAGTTCTGAGAGGGAGGACCCAGATACAGAATAGGTTGATGTCTACAAACAGAGCACAGCACGAGAAAGAATGAGGAAGGAACAGTCCAAACAAAATGGCCAAAAAAAAAAAAAAAAAAAAAACAGTGACAGGACATCTGTGGGGGACTGTTGGAATTAACTTCAGAGGACAACAGGTCGAAGAACTGCGGTGGATGTGACTGGGCCAGGGAGATGGTTGTGGTGAACACAGGGCAAGGCACCATGAAGCAGAGATCTGATATTTTCCATTATTCTTGCCTTCTTCTTACCTTTTGAAACTTATTTAAACATAACATGACAAAAATTGTACAATGTAACTTAGTATAGATTAATATCTTACCCCCATGATCTATTTCTCTATCTTTTTTAAGTTTCATTTTGTTTGTTTTTTTAGTGTTCAGCTCTTGTTTAACTCTTCTTTTCTCATTTGTATTCTGATGACACTGAACATACAGCATTGTTAATACATTTTGTATATTGTATACAAAGTTGCATGTCATAAACATGTAATCTCTGCATGTTTTGCAAAAATAAATAAATAAAAATAATAATAATAAAAGAAACCACCCCCTTTTACTGTACGCAGACAAAGGGGAATCCCCAAAGCAACACAAGGCCAAGCAAGTAGCACTCCAGACTCTTAACTGAACTCGTGCATTGATTTAAAATTGAATAACCTGCCTAAGACACGATAGAAGGGTTAAATTAATGATTGATGGTTCGTTCATTTCATGCCTTATAAGTGCATATAGAAACTTGGGATTTCACCATCTCACCCTTAAAACTCATTCTTCCCTCACTCCCTTTCTTTCTGTAACTCGTATGAATGTGTGTGTGCGTGTGACTGTGTTAGATATTAGTTTTATGTGTTAGAATAATCAATAAAGTATTGTTTATACTTTAAATATAATTGTTCTTGTGTTATGTGCTTACAGATTTAATGTCTTAAACTGCTGATCTAAGTTACCTTGCTAATAAATAGTGTTTCACTATAGTTTGTATATACTGCCACCTTAACGTGGTGGAGGGGGAGGGGTACCCGAATAACAGCTACATTGTCTGGGGCTATATGCCCCTGGTAGGGTCTCCCAAGGCAAACAGGTCCTAGGCAAAGGGCGGGGTCTCTGGGAGGAGTGCTGGAAAGTGCTCCGACTGGGGACTCTGTCGTTCTACTGGGGGACTTCAAGGCTCACGTGGGTAACGACAGTGACACCTGGAGGGGCGTGACTGGGAGGAACGGCCCCCCCGAGCTGAATCCAAATGGTGGTGTTCAGTTATTGGACTTTTGTGCTAGTTACAGTTTGTCCATAACAAACACCATGTTCAAGCATAAGGGTGTCCACCAGTGCATGTGGCACCAGGACACCCTAGGCCGTAGGTCAATGATCGACTTTGTGGTCGTTTCATCTGACCTGTGGCCGTATGTCTTGGACACACGGGTGAAGAGAGGGGCGGAGCTGTCAACTGATCACCACCAACTGATCACCACCTCCATTGTCGAAGTGGCTGCTCGAAGCTGTGGCCGTAAGGTCTCTAGTGCCTGTCGAGCCGGGAATCCTCAAACCCAGTGGTGGACACCGGAAGTAAAGGATGCAGTCAAGCTGAAGAAGCCTGGTTGGCTTGTGGGACTCCTGAGGCAGGTGACAGGTACCGGCAGGCCAAGTGGACTGCGGCCTGGGTGGTTGTGGAGGCAAAAACTCGGGCCTCGGGAGGAGTTCGGCTGGCCTCGAAGAGATTCTGGCAAACTGTCCGGCGCCTCAGGAGAGGGAAACAGTCCCCTACCAATGCTGTTTACACTAGAGATAGGCGGCTGTTGACCTCAACTGGGGATGTCATCGGACATTGGAAGGAATACTTTGAGGATCTCCTCAATCCCGCCGTCACGTCTTCTATTGAGGAAGCAGAGGCTGAGGCCTCAGAGGTGGATTTGTCCATCACCCAAGCTGAGGTCACCAAGGTAGTCAAGAGATCCGCCCTGAATACCTCAAGTCTCTGGATGTTGTGGGGCTGTCTTTGCTGACACGCCTCTGCAGCATCGTGTGGTGGTCGGGGACAGTGCCTCTGGGACAACAGAGGGATCACATTTCTCCTCCCTGGGAAAGTCTATGCCAGGGTACTGGAGAGGAGAATACAGCCGATAGTGGAACTTCGGATTCAGGAGGAACAGTGTGGTTTTTGTCCAGGCCGTGAAACACTGGACCAGCTCTATACTCTCTACAGGGTGCTGGAGGGTTCATGGGAGTTTGCCCAACCAGTCCACATGTGTTTTGTGGATCTGGAGAAGGCATTCGACTGTGTCCCCTGAGGCGGCCTGTGGAGGGTGCTCCGGGAATATGGGGTCCGGGGTCCTAAGTCAGACTTCTTCCCGGTGCATGTTGGACTCCGGCAGGGCTGCCCTTTGTCGCCGGTTCTGTTCATAATTTTTATTGACAGAATTTCTAGGCGCAGCCAGGGGCCGGTGGGGGTGAGGTTTGGGGACCACGCGATTTCATCTCTGCTTTTTGTGGATGATGTTGTCGTGTTGGCCCCTTCACCCCAGGACCTTCAGCATGCACTGGGACAGTTTGCAGCCGAGTGTGAAGCGGCTGGGATGAGAATCAGCACCTCCAAATCCGAGGCCAAGGTCCTCAGTCGGAAAAGGGTGGCTTGCTCACTCCAGGTTGGTGGAGAGATCCTTCCTCAAGTGGAGGAGTTTAAGTATCTTGGAGTTTGTTAATGAGCTTACTCAAATCCTTCTTGTGGATTTGAGTAAATCTTTAAAAATAGAGAACTTTCTTGGCCTTATGCTCACCATGATGTAACTCTCTGGGTCGACAGTCACGCCGGCATGACCAGCTCACTTTTTTTCTTATCCGTGCAAAAAAGACTCAAAATACTCTGTCAATTTTGATCTTACATATAAGTGTTATACATCATTCAAAACTGTTAAATATATTCTTTTATTTGTGTAACCTCATAATAAAAACTAAATGTTGTGCTTTTCGTAAAATAAAGAAAATAAACATGATGTGCATTCTGCCGTCTCTCTCAATGGCCCTCATTTATCAAAAGTGCGTATACCAAATGTCCATCGTACACTTGGAGTACACCTAAAACCACGGTGAGTTTGAGATTTATCAATATGGCATTGGCGTACAGCACGCTCAAATCCTACACCTGCTCAAGAGGAGGTACGCACGTTTTGAGTCCTAAAACAAATCCTACAACCACAAAACGGACTGACAAACTAAAAGATATGATATGACCCACTGTTAAAAAAACAAAACAAAAAAAAAACATACAAAAAAACAAAACAAACATAGTAATTATAAACATGGACTTCAATGTTTAATTTGTGTGACTTTATCAAAGCAATTGATTTTGTAAGCATATGTATTCCTTCATTTGCCAGCCTGTGCGCTTTACCCTGACGTTTCAGGGTTAGCCCCGGCAGGAGCGCACAGACTGCTTTCACTAATGAAAGGTTATCAATGACCAAAAAATAATTCAGAATAAAAAAATAATAAAAAATACATTCCTCTTCTTTTAAAAATAATAATAATAATAATAATAATACAAATAATAATAATGACTCTCTTCTTCAAAATAACAATAAGCGTCATTAATAATACAAATCATAACAATAAGAAGAATATTACAAATTGTCATGCAATTATTAATGTGAATGAATGATACTCCACATCATCATCAAAGTACACCCCAATACATGTGACGTGATTCGAAATTGAATGCTAATTCAAAAGACGTGCTGTAAAATAATGCATTGTGATAGGTCATTTCGGCTCCATGTCAGAGAAGTTTCTCTTCTTTGCCGTCTTCCGTGTGTCCATGGCGTAAAATGAGGGCGTTGGAGCGGAGACTTGAATATTTAGGGGCGTGTTATTCTAATGATGATCGTTTTCACCCGCGGGATTTATCAAGGGCAGGTATTGCGTACACCTGGATTTCAAAGAACGCACAGCTTCATAAATCGGGTGGTGAGAGGAGTGTAAGCATAATCTTACGCCAACATATACGCCCTTTTCTACGCAAGAATGATAAATGAGGACCAGTGTGAAGTTCTTTCTGAAACACGACAGAAAATGAACTGTAACTCAGCGAATGTTTGTCACACAGACTTGAGATGCATGTCTTTACAAAATTTGGAGTCTCTATTTTGAAATGATGCAAATTATATTAAAAACAAATATTCTCTGTTTATTTTCTGTATATTAAAGCAACGACATGGACAGTTTCTCAAACGCAAATAGCAATTTTACCCTGAAAAATCTAAAGTCCTATAGTTTATCTTGAGGTCAGCATGGTCACTCAAAACCAGTTATTATTTATTTATTAATTTTATACAGGGACCAGATGCCACTGATAAGTCCTGCTGACTTTTCATTCATGTGAACTGAACATTCACATGAGTCTCTTTTCATAAACATGGTAAAGTGAAAAATGTGTGACTGTTCAAGTCTCTAGATCAAGTCTTTAGATCAGTGTGTTCAATAATGTGCTTTTTTGTCTTTTGTTGTGTATCTTTGGATTATGTTGTGTTGTAACATATTTTCTGCAATCAATTTCTTTTTTAAATCTCCCAAGGCGGGCATACACTGTGCGATGTCTGTGCGATTTCAGCAAGGTACTTACTCACAC